AAACATCGCCACGAGGGAGATAGATGCGGCCGGGCGTGGTGCTGGCCACCCACCCTCTCGTGTGTCGTTCCGGCCTTCATAGGTGCTCGCTAACAGCACTTGCCCCTACAGTCTGTTAAGGCTATACGGGTGTTGTTTGTCTTTGTCTTGATGTTGTATCTGAGTGCATGTATAAACGTATGTATTTCAGTAGTGTAAGTTGTATGTTTGAATGTCGTCATCATCATCAACAGCAGTTTGTGATCAATGTGCTGCTGAACTGGCATCGGTATCTGTGAAACTCCTGGACATTTACACCATTGGAACCTCGTTTGCCAGTAGAAAAATATGATAATAGTTTTTTTACCCTTGTATCTGGCAACAAAACTGACACCTTTTTTACAAGGAGTCATGTTTGCATAGACCACAATACCTGCAGTCGGAATGCAAACAAAAAACACAACTCTGACAATGTATGCACTGTCCTTGAAGTTGATTGGTCCACACCCGAGACAGCTTTCCTTAGAGCCTAGTCTCACATGGTGTTGGAACAGATGACGCCAAAAGGCGCACAACTAAAAAACAATGCATCATCAGAGTATGAGAGCTCGGGGTAAGCATTTACATCATTCGAACCTCATTTGCCAGTAGCAAAATATGATTATTGGTTGTTTTACCCTTTTATCTGACAACAAAACTGACACCTTTTTCAACAAGGAGTCATGTTTGGTCCAACACCATGTGAGACTAGGCTCTAAGGAAAGCTGTCTCGGGTGTGGACCAATCAACTTCAAGGACAGTGCATACATTATCAGAGTTGTGTTTTTTGTTTGCATTCCGACTGCAGGTATTGTGATCTATGTAAACATGACTCCTTGTAAAATAGGTGTCAGTTTTGTTGCCAGATAAAATGATAAAACAACCAATTATCCTGGACATCTGTGAAAAATATCTTTATAGCTCATCGGATTCATCCAGTATAAACACATATTCTGATTGATTCTGAGTCATGGATAGTAACATTGAAAGTGGAGGGATCGGATATAAAGCAGATAGCAATGCATGTCTGAGTGTACGTATCAAAGTATGTATGGATTGTGGGGAGCGGTGGTGCAGCGGTTAGCGCTACGCTGCGCTACAAACCTGGCGACCCGGGTTCGATTCCCGCTCACGGCAAATATCAGTGACGATTATTTGAACCGGCCCTGGGCCTCCCCTAGGTCGACTCAGCCTCAAATGAGTATCTGGTGCGATGTGTAAACATCGACACTAGGGAGACAAAGGCGGCCGGGCGTGGTGTTGGCCACCTACCCCCTCGTGTGCCGTGCCGGCCTTTATAGGTGCTCGCTAACAGCACTTGCCCCTACAGTCTGTTAAGGCTAAATGGGGGATCTTTATAGATGGGTGTCTGTATGAACTACGTCTGTATGCATGTGAGTATTTACTTACGTATGAACTGCGTATGTATTAGTGTATTCATATACAGTACGTATTAGTGCATTGTGTGAGTGATGTATGAGTGTATTGTGTGTGCATTGTGTATGAGTGATGTATGTATGATTGATGCATGAGTGTATTGTATGTGCGCATTGTATATGAGTGATGTATGTATACATGTATGCATGTGAATTGTGTGTGTTGTATATGAGTGATGTATGTACGATCGATGCATGAGGGTACTGTGTGTGTGTGTATTGCATATGAGTGACCTATCTGTGGGGTGTCCTGTGTGTGTACTTTTATATATGATTGATGCATGTATTAGTGTGTGAGTGATGTGCGTGTGAGTGCATTGTGTGTGTGCGTCGTATGCTGTAACCTGTGTGCCAAGCACGAGATCCGCTCTGCTGCATTCATTCATCACCCCCTGACAATCAGACGTTTCATTTGTCTGCAGGAGCCAACGGGCGAGATGTGGCAACCAAACCAATCCACACGTGGCAATTCATTAATTCGTGCATTTAAGCAGGTGTGCGGTCAGTGTAACGCATTGATCCCCAGCACCTGCGGGGGGTCACCAACACCCCGCGACGTGCCGATCTTGGGGGGGGGAGGAGGAGAAGGAGGGTGGGGGATAAGTCTGACCATACTTCACCACACTGGCCAGTACGGGTTGGTGAAAGCAGGAAGCATAGACGTTGAAGCGTAACAGCACGGCCCAACACTCGCATGTTGCTGCGCCGTGGTATGCCGAGGATGTAGCCCCTGCAGATCAGCCTACGAGATAGATAGGGCGTTATCGGCACAATCTGGGTATGAATAGGCCAACATCCGTTGTACAACGGCGGTGATATGACCGAGTGGCAGCAACGTTGCTTGCGTGTTGCAGACGCGCGCGGTTCGACCCCCAAAGGCCGCCCTGGTTATAGCTGCAAGGTGCCACTGCAGTTAACCACACGCGCGCGCCGTCGAGTGGACGTTAACGGAATCAGTGACGTGATCCATAAAAGCGCAGGCCGTGGGTTTCGGTGTAATGGCAAATTATAATAAATACTGCCGATTACTTAATTGGCTAAAACCGCATAGCAACATCGCCTTCTTTCTGCTAGCAGACTATATCGGTCTGTGAAACACGGCGTGTCTTCGTGACGCGGCCGTGATCATACCAAAGTGCTAAATTAGTATTACTAAGGAATGACAGCCTCGCGACCTCGAAACATCAAACATCAGCCACCAGCAACAGGGCTCGCTATCCCGGGCATGGGCCCTAACCCTAACCCTCAATTAAGCCCGGAGCGTGTCAGGATCCTTTTCATTAACAATGTGTCAGATGCTGCGTCACGGGGACGCGGGCGGGATTGATGGTGGTGCTGGTGGTGATGCGTTCAGTCACGCGCGGGTACACATGCACGCACACAGCCAAAGATCCCCCGTATAACCTTGACAAATGTTTTGGGGCAAGTGCTGCTAGCGAGCAGCCTTCGAAAGAGGGTCGCGACACACGATGGGATGCTGCGGCTAACGCCACGCCCGCCCGCCCGCCCTTGTCTCCCCGGAGGCTTAGGACCGATTCCAATTGTCATCGCTAGTGTTGGCCGTGAGCGGGAATCGAACTCGGGTGGCCGGGCTCATAGCGCAGCGCGCTAACCACTGCACTACCTCTACCCTCCCTACCACGAAGATAAACACACACCCGCTCAGAGACCAGTCGACCTTCACAATGCTTTGTGAATAATCAGCAAACGCTGAGTAAAGGTTAGCGTCTATTAAAGGTCGGCAAGGCAAGGTGGTGAAGAAAGCGTAACGGCTTGCGATCATCTCGGCTCGACTCCTGATCACAATCGGTGCTTCTTGATTCTAGCCAGCAATAGTTCCAGGTATCGTGTTGACATATCTCATCCGTGAAAACGAGCTTCATAGCTCATCGGATTCTTCCCGGATAAATATTCAGATTCCTAATTTTCCCTTATGGTGCCGCGGACGTGTGCGTGTAGGTGAGCAAAAATTATGCGTGAATAGCGCTTACGATTACCAGCTGTGCTTTAGAACAGTAATCCAACGTAACTTCCCTATCCTTAAGATAGGATTATGTATCGGCGTACGTTGTACACCAGTGGTAGTACCTTATGCTAACAATCGCTACTCCAAGCCACCCGCTAAGACCAGCGTTAGGAATAAATATTGAGTGAGAAATAAATAAAACAAATTGTGTGCGGCGCACCTTTGTTTTCCCAGTGTTTATGTTTCCACACGAGATCAAGTTACATTGTTAAGGCGTGTGTTGACCTCAGGGGGGAGGCCCAGGACCGGTTCAGATGTAACTGTCGAACGGTGTTGGCTGTGGCCGGCAATCAAATCGAGGTCGCCAGTGTACGCAGGGCAGTGCACGAACCACTGCGCCACCACCGCACGCTTCATCATGCAACACGCAGACACAAGCATGAGACGCGAACACCTGCAAACACCATGCAAGTCAAAGGAAATTACATGTGTGCGTAGTGGCACAATATACCAGTACAGGAATTCCCCGCTATAAGTTGCTGCATTGTGCGTTGTCTCACATGTGCGTTGCCAATTCGTGAGTGAACATATTTCCTTTTAAGTGTAATGCTTTGCCCTACGTTGTAAAAAAAAAAAAAAGCGCAATATATATTTATTTAATCTTTACTTGGAACGCAAGTAAAAACGGACTATATTTTTTGTTACGTAAGCGCGTAGCCTGTACCAACGAAGATCCCTCTGCCTGGGTGTTCAGTCTCCGTCTGCCAGCCCGCCGTTTCGTGCGATATTTGATCACGTGTTAAGGTAGGAAAAAAGCGTGCGGTGGTAGTCTTAAAAGAGTACCAAGGGATTAGAAAGATGAGTGCAAAACGCACAGTAAATGATGATGATGATAGTGCCTCTGGCAAGAAAATGCAAAGGAGATGTATTTATCGAGAGGTTAAATTCGAAGTTGTAGAGCGTTTTGGAGCAGGTAATAAGGCAGTCAATATTGCCAGAATGCTTGACCTCGGTGAGAATTAGTCGTGTTAAAGCGGAAAACATTCTCCAATGTGCTCAAAATGTGGCACATTTGACTGCCACTATAACAAGTCATATAGCAGCTGTGAAACTGGTATAGCAGTTAAGGAAAGACTTTTAAGTGTCTGGATTGAAGATAAAAATCAGCGAAGCTCTGCAAACCATCTTTTCTAAATTTTATCTAATTATTTGTTAATTACTATTCGTTAAAATGTATGTTAACTTAATATCATGTGCATTGTTTGTACACTTCGTTAGTTTTAGTCACGCATTTTTTCCCCATAAAAGACAGCCAGGAACGCAACCCCTGATTTTAACATTATGTCAATGGGAAATTAAAGATCACTTTAAGTAATTTCGGGTCAAGTGACATTTCCCAGGAACGCATCGCTTTACGCACAGTGGGGGATTCCTGTGCATGCACGCACACCCAAAAACACACGTGACTAATGAAGTGAATGAATGAACACGAGCAGACACGTTCACAAAGCTGACTTAGGGAGTGACAAAGAATAAAGATCGGGACTAACATGTTATTGACGAATTAATCTCATTTCCAGGTTGAATGATGACCAAGTCCTCCGGGTCGTCTCAACGAGGAATGAGCAGCATACACGGGCAGAGGTCTGGAGCTGCTGAATATAACTGACAACAAAGGAAATCATCGGAAGCAAATGTGAGGCTCAAAATAAGACTGAAATAGGGATGCTACTGCCGGTGGTGAAATGTGAACTCAAATCGTCGGAGGTCACAAAATTCCATCCCTTACAATAAAATCAAGGTAAAAAATGGAATGGCTGCAATGCAGCTGCTGTAGCATGTCTGTGCACTGGTGTGTGACCTTTATGAGATGGTAGAGTCTTCTAAAAGCGTGCACTTTCTTTTACATGCACTCAAAAGACAATATTCATCAATCCGGTCAACCAAAAGATGAACTCTCTCATGCACCTGCCTCCGAATTGTCCTATCACAACAACAAAAGCCTCCTCACACAAGAAGAAGGGATGTCATCTCTCAACTAGCGCGCTTGCTTCGACAGTGCGACCAAGCACACGTTCGGCCGTAAATGCGAAGGAAGGGCCAACCAATGGCTTGTCTTCAATCGAGTTTGAAGACAAGCGAGGGGGGTCCACTCGACTTGGCTCCGGCTCAGCTCGTCCCACCAGAGCGCCACTAAGGCGACGGGGCGCTTGACCGAGGCGCTCGATACCGGAACGCACACACGTGCGTTTGAGGACCCTGCTCGGCCATGCCGGTACGCAAATACCGCCCGGTGCGGTTCCTGCGGCCTCCTTGGTCAGTGAAACGCGGCCACCTTGGGTGCCGCTCGCACCTCGTGGGGCCCTTCAGCATCTTCTGCCTCTTCGTCGTCCTCTCCGCCTTCCCGCCACAGTGGCTAAGCTCGCGGCACGCTGCCCCTTTCGCCTTTTCTCCGGTTTCGCCAGACTACGGAGAGAGTGAGCGACAGCCCCAGCCGCCGCCGCTGCTAGTGGGGGAGGACGGAGGCGTCTTCTACCGCGCGCGGGGGTTCACACGGCGCCGCAACCCCGACGCGCTAGCAGCGTGGACGCTGCGGGCTCGGTCGGAGTGGACAGACGGGCGTTCGAATTACGCGGGCGACGGGAAACCCGCTTATGCAAAGGCCACTGCGGTGAAGGTGAACACCTCAAAGTCGGGGCCAGCAGTCCACAGGTTGGTGTCAATGGGTCACGTGGAGTTTGCCGAGAACCTTTCTGTGGCCCACGCGGCCTCCGATGGTGACAACGATGTTCCGATGGAGAGCCAAAACTTTGCGTACATCCTCAACGAGCCCAACAAGTGTATGCCGAGCCACCCCTTTCTCGTGCTCCTCATATCTTCCGTGCCGGCGCAGCTCGACGCCCGCCAGGTTATCCGTGAAACGTGGGGGAACGAGAGTCTGGTGCCGGGCATCGTCATCAAACGGCTCTTCCTGCTGGGAGCGGCGCCTGCGGAGGCAGGATCGTTGCGTGTGCAGTCGCTCCTCGAGGAAGAGAGCCGTCGTCACGGGGACCTCCTGCAGCAGAACTTTGTGGACACTTACTACAATCTGACGCTAAAGACCATGATGGGCCTCCACTGGGTGTCGGAGCACTGCCCTGACGCGGCCTACGTCATGAAGACCGACAGCGATATGTTTGTAAATGTGGAGTTTTTGGTGAGCACGGTTCTCAAGCCAGAGCTCCATCAGCCTTCGCTCCCTGACTACTTCACGGGCTACCTGATGCGCGGCTACTCCCCGAACCGCAACCCCGAGAGCAAATGGTACATGCCGGTGGAGGTGTACCCGGGGGAAAGGTACCCCACCTTCTGCTCGGGCACCGGCTACGTTCTGTCGGGCACGCTGGCCGCTCGCGTCTACCGCGTGTCCCTCACCATCCGGCGGCTGCACTTGGAGGACGTCTACGTGGGGCTGTGCTTGGCCAAACTCCGCGTGACGCCCACCGCTCCGCCCAGCGAGTTTCTCTTCAACCACTGGCGGGTGTCCTACTCGGCGTGCAAGTACAGCCACCTGGTCACGTCGCATCAGTTCTCCCCGGCCGAGCTGCGCCGCTACTGGGGTCACCTGCAGCAGCACCGGAGCAGCCCGTGCGCGGGCAGGCGTGGCAAGGGGCGCAACCGGAACATTCGAGCCCGTCGGCGCCGGCAGGAGATTCCAGAAAGGCTGCCCCGGAATGCGATTCACATCAACTGACGGGCCCCTGGAGAGGAACCAATGGATGGACGTGGAATGTCGAACGCTGAATTTCTGTGCTCGTACAACGTGAATATGAAAGGGATCTAGGTTTTTGATGTTGGCCGATTTACAGCAAGCTTCCGCTCGGCATTCCAGGATATCCTGTCGTAATGCATTTGAGGGTTTTTTTTTCATGCAGAATCTTCCCCTGTGCCATTTTTTTAAAATCACAATTCCACCTTCCTCCTGCCTGCTGCACTTACTCCTTGCACTGCTTCCCATGACGTCATCTGTGTCCCATCTGATTCACATGTCCGAGTGACCTTGCCTGCCTTTGGATGTTATTGCTGTTATATCCATGACGTCTGATCTAAGTAGGGCAGTCATTTGCCACATTTCGTTTCTATTGCAGTAGATGAGAGAACCTGGAGTCATAATTGGTGACAAGAGCCTGAACAATGCTTCTGGAAAGATTATGGTTTAATTTCATAGACCACACAACACATTTCGATGTGACACCGTTTGGACTCGGCAATTCCCTATATTTATTTTTAAACGTCCTTGCAGAAATTGTTTACATTTTATAACTTATACAGATTTGATAAAATGAAATCGTATAGCATGAAGTGCCCAGTACAGTTTATCTTTAAACAAACTATGGGTCCACTGTAGCGCTTTTGGGGCCAATGAATGAGTGTTTTTCATGACATCTGACTGTCGACCAGGCCTGGTTGGGCCCACCGAAATGAAGCTCACCCACTATGCCACCAGTCACCTACCGGAAAGTGTGACAGTTGCCACAAACACTGCTGCAAGCGATTATCATCTTGTATGGGATTGTTGTCATCCCCTACACAAGACTCTTGATGAACACCACGATTGTTGTGGTAAGCTGTGGTGTTGTGCTGCAGTGCCAAAGGGGTAGTGATCGTCATCAGGATGTTTTTTTAAAAGCCATTTCAATCCACTGCTGAATTAAGGGGCTTCTTCGCCAGTGCCCCAACACCGAGTCCTATGCAGCCACGAAAGGAAAATACAGCAGTGCTGAGTTTTACTCTGATTCGTTGTTGAATTCACCACACGATAGTGACATTGTTTTCATGTTTTAAGGTGTTTTAGCTGAGCATTTTAAATAATGTATGGTCGTGCGAGCCTGTGACCATAACTCTCCGATTTCTCAACGTTACTGCTCTACACAGCGTTAGACTCCCAACCCAAAGTGTCACAATTACATGACGATTTGGGTAAGGGCTTGGTGCAGATCGTGTTGCAGTTTGGTTAACATGGGAATCAAATGGAGTCCCCTCTCCAATTTCCTTCACACATTGAAGGCTAGCGCCTGCATATCTTCAAACCGTGGACCCAGGTACAATTGTACCACTCGATAGCTATGCCGCCGAATGCAAATTTTCTGAATGCACCCAGTGCATGCAAATAATTTGCCTCGGGAGTATCCCACATCGTAAAAGGGCATTTCTTGTGGCTTTTTTGTCGTGAACTTTTAAATAATTGATGTTCGTATGAAACTTTAATACGCTATCGAAACCTTACAACAGAATCGAAAATTGGGCAAATTGATGAGAGGTTCGTATAAAATAAATGGAACTGAAATGATAAAAGGTGATTCGGTATAAATTTTAAGAAAGACTTTTGTGTGGGAGGCAAGTTGAATGTCAGCAAGCCTGGTATGTAACTTGAACCATAAAACCCCATTCTAAAATGTTGCTAGCCCCAACACGCCTAGTCTTAACCCTGCCTGGCATCTTTCACCATAAATAGGACACTTAACAAGCCTAACCTTTATCAGTCAACTTTAACAAGGCACGTCTTTAGCCTGACCCTAACACATCCGGCGCTTACCCAAACGCTAATCACTACCGTGTGTAGTTTGAACCTTGCCATATTGATTGATTGACCTTTTCTCTCCCGATATCAAATCGATGTCTCATCAACTCAAGTTCTTGATGCACATCCCAAGGAGCAATTTAAGCCATTTCCAATAATATTGTGAGTTAGTATTACTGTAGCCAATTCGCATGGCCTTTTTGTTTCCACGCAAATTATGGCCCGAAAGAGATCTCGGATCAAAATGTGATGCACTCTACCATCAAGTGTCCCTGCAGAAGACAGTCTAGGGGATAAGGGGGCCTTCCTGTTTGAGGCTGATGTCTTGAAGGCGCCCTTGGTAGGTATGTAGAATCGATTGAAAACTGAACCTCACAGCCTATAACGTGTCTCACTGTGTGTGTGTGTGCAGCCCTTGCCCCTGTGTGCACTATGAAATGTAACGTACGTGTATATGCACTATGAATTATGGTGTTGGGCCTTTCATATTATCTGCATGCTGTAGGCCTAGGGCGTCATAGTGATGCAGAGTGCAGCGTAACTACCCACTGACTACTCGGTTGCAATTGTGTACATACAATATCAATGGGCTCTCACCTGCTTAAATAAAAGGATGTGAATTCATGGAATTTTTTTACACGGTTATTTATCATGAAGTTTCACAGTACAGTGTGCTGACCATACAGGGTGCAATTAAGGCCGCAAATTAGCAGAGGCCAGCACTCGTGAAATAAAACTGAGCTCGTGCTTGTGTTGTCTCGCTTATGGCTCGGCCTGCGGTGTGTTGAGACTCGGGGGAGTGCAAGATGTAAAGACAATTAAATGTTTCCAACGAGGATGGTCCACCACGAGGCAAAGTGCACGTACATGCACAGCCCTTTTGTCAACCACTTCTGCACGAGGGCTCCTTCCCCATGCCGTAACCTCCGGTTCGCACGGTTTGCTACGTACGGTTCGAAAGAAGCTCAACATGTGTACGAACATACATGCCATGGTAGTAATGCGTGTTGTGAGGCCAGACTTGACCACAGAGGTGGATCTCAAACTATCCAAGTGGGGAGGCCGGTCCAAAAACATAGTTGCCCAACGTCAATAAACAAGCACATTGTATTCTCTATGGTAAATATCAATAGAATACCAATTTTGGGGTCTCAAGAGCGGTGGGGGCGATCACCCTCCATAATTTCCTTACCCTTGGATCCGCCACTGCTTGACCACGCTAACTGGTTGGTGAAGGCAGGGCACGTAGATATGGGAGCATGGAAGTACAGCATGACAGTAGATTTTTGCTGTACTTCTCTCTGCTGTCTGCAACCTTAGGATAAGTAATTATGAACTCCTACATTTGAACCTTATGGCGGGACCCCGGGGTCCCATAAGCCCCCGGCTCTCGCATATACATTATATTATAATGTAAACAAAAACTTTGCTTTTTTTCACCAATGGGTTTGAAGGATTGTGGCAAGTGTTGTCTTGTTAAACTATGCCTTTGAAACTGAAAACTACTTACACTATCAAAAAAATGATTTACACCCCTGTCAATCATCGTGCTACTCAGTGTGGATTTGTGAACACACTTTGTATACATAAAATAGTAAGCGTTTTCAATGCGCTGTTCATATTGTAACAAGCGTTTATACCAATGTTACTCTACCGAGTAGTGGGTCGCCGCTCCTCTTATCCGCATTGATACGAGCGGTATGTGGGGACTATGGCTTAACCGCAAAAAATAACTATCAGCGCAGATGTATACGGACAAGAGAAGTATTACAAAACAGGAGAAATTGACGGTGCAACGCATCTCATCTGTTTAATATCTGCAGGTAATAGGATTGTCATCGATTGATCCTGGCTGCAGACACTGGTAGGTCACAAATAATAATGAGGATAAGAGAGCAGTTTCACTGTGTTACGCATAACGTTATGACAAATAAAGGACTTAAGTCGTGTCGGCAGTTTGAGCAGCTTTGGATAAGACTTATGATCCTGCCCGTACCCGAGCATGGAGTGCATTCGCTTGTTCAGCTCTTGTGCGCATTCGTCCTCGCTGCTGCGCTTGGACGACGACATGACAACAGAATGATCCGCGCCAGGTGGGTCGCGGCGTTTATGTGGGATGGAGTCGCCAAAAAAAATAATGAATTTCGATTTTTACTTTCGTTTATTTCCTGGACGTCGGGGTCCCGCCATGAGGTTCATTTGGTAGGAGTGGTCAGTGTCCATTCAAAATGTGTGGGCCTGAGCCAGTGGTGGAAATTCCACATTCTGTTGGTGGGGGCCAGGATATCCATTGGAAGACTACGGCTGCTTTCCCGCAAAGTGGTATACAATGGTTCGGATATCACTCGCCACAGTAATAGAATTCGGATCACCAGGTCCATAGTGTTGTGCGCGAACCACTGCGTCACTGCTCCCCCTGGAAACATGCTTAATGTCACAGTATATGGAAGGGGAGAGGCCCAAAAGTTGTTCAACCACGAAAGCAGAGATCCAAGTCATTAATATATTCTGCTCACTAATGCTATGTTCCCACGGCCTTGGTGAATGTGTTATAGCTTCCTTATCAAAGCAACACTGCCCACTCAAATCTGGTCATGCATCTGGGTTTGTCGCTGACTTGGCACGGTATTGCTACCATGGAAATCTGGGCTTCCTGACTCGGCTGGCCTGCTTTTCTAGTGGCTATGGGAATGTGGCACCACGTCCGATAAATAATCTGCCTGATAAGCCAGGCACATGGCAGTGGTAATGATTGACGTTGTCGTGACTATCTGGTCAAATTATGTGACACTCAAGACATGATGGGGATTGGCATGTGGACTATGTTAGTGACCTTGATCTGAATTGACTTTGATAACATCGATAATCACGCCCTGCAGTCAGGATGCAGTCAACATGACTTCTATAGCTGAGTGTCACAATTGTAAATGCATGATGAAAATGAATGTTGATGCATTGTTCTTCATCTTTAGGCAACTAAGTATGTCAGTATTCAGCATTGTGTCAATCACAGTTTTTATGACAGGGTAGTGCCCTCCATCAATCCCAGCCTGAATCTCCCACAAGTCATTGCGTCAAATCCACTTTAGTGAGGGTTAAAATCACATTTAGAATCAAAATCCGTTGTTAAAGTAATCTATCTGAATCTCATACTTGTCAAAACATGGATCATGTACTCACCCTCCCATATATACACGAATAAAAACCAAGATTTGTTTGTTTAAGTTGATTTTAGGAGTCAAAGGGGACCCTCCACAAGTGTTGAAGATTTTGCACGTAATTTCATCGCTATCATATATATCATGACAGTCCATAACAGTGCGCATGATGCATGAAAGGGCGAGTCATACTATAAATCCCATACTATTCAGAACACAATTCCGATGCCAGTTAAGAGCAAACATTCCATAATGTGAGAGCCAGAATCCCATAATGTGAGAGACAGAATCAAATACTCCTCTGAAAGTAATTGTATTCGGACCCTCATTGCCATAAGGGAAGAGCTGATTCCCTTGAGTCAGAGCGTGAATTCCATTATAGCGTTAGAACCAGTAATTCATTTTCCTCCTCTATGGCCACCCATTTGTTTAATCTACGAAGTGTTTTCATTCGCACCTTACCTTAAAAATGTTTTACCGTATACCTCCTGCTTTGCTGGTCTAAGTGATGTAATCTGTCTGATGTCTATATTGGTTCGAACATCAATCCTCTGCCAGCACCCCGATGCATAAATACAGGCAAAACCACATATTTTATACTGGTAGGAACCTCCTGGTTACACCAGCCCATTGTGTCCGTCCGTCCGTCTGTCGTGCATCCAAAAATGGGAGGGGTGGGGCTGGGTGGAGAGAGGAGGGTTGGGAGGGGCTGGGTGGGGAGGGTGGGGAGGGGCTGGGTGGGGAGGGGAGGGTTGAGAGGGGCTGGATGGGGAGGGTGGGGCTGGGTGGGTGGGGAGGGGAGGGTGGGGAGGGGCTGGGTGGGGAGGGTGGGGCGGGGTGGGGGGTGGGAGGGGTGGGGCTGGGTGGGGAGGGGCTGGTCACCCCGTGGTGCCCTTATAAAACTCAACGTTTAACCTACTCACGCCGGCTTGTGCCCGCCCTCACAGTCGGCCATATTTGCGGAATACACCACGCCGCCGTTGACCCTGCAGGCCATTGACCGAGCAACCCAACGTTCCTACGAGCTCCCTCTGCAGGAATGTGTTTTAATGTGGTTTTAGGAGTAAAAGCCTCCCGCCAAACGTGTTTTCCGTTGTCTTGAGATGCTGTTACATTTACACACGACCTGTATCTGCATTGTATTGTAATCTCATGCAGCTGCGTAGCTGTCCGAATAGATGCAAAAAAAATAAACTATTTGATTTTAAAAAAAACATCCATCGCTGCTACGCTGAATCTCATAATAATGTTACCTCCCTAAAAATGACCCCACTGAAAAAAAGAACCTGTTCGAAGCCAAGCCTTTGTGTTCAGAAAAGCGGTCATCAAACTCAAATAAATACAACCGTGTTGAACAAAGCCATCAGACGCAAGGGTAAGTGGGCTGCATCTATCTCAGGCCTCGATGTGGCGGTAGCTACGTTGACACGCTAATCTCTCACGATACAATAGCCAGCCCAACAGCTTTGGGGTGCCCTCCATCTTCCGTCTCTAACCCCGCCCACTTACCCTTGGGCTGCACCCATCTCAGGCCTATATAACGCCCTGCTGCTTCAGCAGCTCTCTTGCTATACGTTTTCACCTGAGGACGATGGCTTGTGTTGCGATCGAAACGTCGTGATTTTTTGTTAGATTTTTTCTATCTACGTGACTTTACCGAAAGAGCCAAAGAGTTTGGTGGAGAGGAGGTGAATGAAATAGATGAGACGAAGCAATGGGGCGAATCTGTTGTGCGTGAATTCGGTGAAAGTGAAATTTACGACCGTAAATGATGATGATGAATGGATTGAAGGAACGGGGACTGAGTAATACCCATATAAGGAGACTATGAAGAGGGAAGAGTAACGGTGGTGATTGTGAGGGCGAGATTAAGGTGTCGTGGGGTGAGCTCGGGAACAATAAGTGCGGAGCGGAAACTAGTGCGTGAAGGTGACTGTTTAATGTGGAGGGGCAGTTTGTTCCAGTGAACGGGGGCGAGAAGAGAAAATGAGCGAAAGCGTGGATGGAGCGCGAGGAGAAGGAGGAACGGAGAGAGATAGCAAAGTTTTAAATCGATCCATGGAGCCATTCTATAAATGTCGCAAATGTGGATCATTGTAAATAGGAGCCCGCCTGTATTTTAATAGGCGTGAAATGCCTCGACCGAACGATGTCTCAATAATTGTTCTATTGAAAAAAGGAGTTAAACTGATTTGATTAATTGCACATTCGTTAGTCTCCCGTCACATACATGGGCATCGTAAATAACTGAATAATGGTCAACTTAAGAGACCAACCAACCGTGAGAACAAGCTAGTTTATAAAAGCCATTGACCACATAGAGCACTATGAATCGGATTATTCGTGGCCAGATCATCCTTCGTACCAGGCTTGTTGAATGGTGTTACGGTTAAATTGTTAAGCGGCACGAGATCTGTAGCAACCACGGTAAGAAGTGACTTTTGGAAAATTATGACCGAAAAGGATGAGAGGCAGTATGGGCCTTAAAACAATGGGATCAAGCATATGTAGTACGTGGCTAATGGAAGCTCATTGGGAATCCTGGGACAAACAGCAATTGAAATTCTGTAAGGGCCACATGCTTCCTGTCGTTCTGGCTCTTAGTGTCATGAGCGTCGAGGGTGTCCTGTATTATCGGCACTAATATAGTGGGCAAAATGTCATAAAAGATATGGGGAAAATAGTCGTTGGAGACACCCACGTGGGTTCTTCCATTTATTCGACCCCCCATTATGATGCAGAAAATCACTGTCCTGTCCAGGAGGTGGTGGTCCACGTGGTTGTGATTCCACCTCGCTTGTAGATACTGGTGCCACTGGCATTTCGTACGTCACTCACGACTCCTGAACAGGACTGGGTCATATCGACTTCCCCTCGAGCAGCAGTGATGGTTCGTTTCTACGTTGGTTTTGGCAGACACTGGTCAAGCGAAATCGGCCACGGTTGTTACGTACACTCAAAACATCTAGCCAGCCGGTGATTGTAAGCGAAAGAACACTCATGGCTCCAGTATCAGTACTAGATGAAGCAGCATGCATGCCAAGAAAAAATTGCCAACTGCAAACAGAATACAGCAGTCCGACAGTAACTCAGGACAGAAAAAATGCTTTACGTTATTCTAAATATGATTTGGGCATGACCGATATAATTAAACAAGCAATTGGCATGGGAGACACTCAGTCTGTTTGGCAAAATTATATAAAATTAGCATGTTGGATAAGGCAATCTGGCACGGTCAAGGTTTTCTCCACATTGGACTTAAGTGCCGATTATTGGCAAAATGTCTTTAGACGAAGCCACGAAGCTTAAAGCAAAACTTCATCACCCCAGGAGGACTGTTCAAATTTCATGTCCTTCCAAAGGGTTTAAAACAGCTCCAGCCACCTTTCAGAGTTGCGATGTGAGTCCCGCCTTATATATTTGGATCACACGTTTGTGTATCATTTGAGGAACATTTGCAATGCTTGCGACAAGATTTTCTACAGGAAGACAACCTGAAGCTGAGACCAATTTTTTTTGCATTTTTATAAATAGTGTACGCTGCCTGGACCATAGTGTTAACCATGAAGGGGTGGCAACTGACACAGAGAACATTTAAGAGTGATAAAGTGTGGCCAGTGCCGAAGAATGCCAAAGAGGTTCTTCAGCTTTTTTGTGTTGGCCTCTTACAGAAAATGTGTGCCAGAATTGCAAGTCTGTTACATGCATTCGTAGCAAACATCTCTGGGTTTAAATGGAGACCAAACGAGCTTAAGTAATTTGAGAAATTGAATGGAACCTTAATTGGCTAGCCAATATTTGAACAATCCAAATTCACTGAGCCAATTATTCTCGACACAGAAGCACGTGATCATGGGATCGAATGCGCATTGTCAGAGCACAGAGCGGGAAGGGAAGTTGTCGTTGCATATTTCCGTCAAGTGCTCTCTCCAGCCATCACCTAATGGGAATTTTTGGCCTTGGTACATTATTTAGAGGCATTTCGGCCATATCTGTATGGCTGTACTTTTGCAGTACGGACAAATCATTTGGCTTATAGTATGTACTGAAAACGAATAACCCCTCGGGACAGCTGGCCAGGTGGTTGGAGGTGCTGGAGGAATTCTAATTTATAACCAAACATAGAGCAGGACAGAGACATACAAATGCAGACGCTGTCCAAGGTACCACAACTTCCCTTATTTGCCTCAGCAAGGCCATCCATAATGTGGTGGCGACACAACTGCTACCACCTGAAGCCATAGATGACAAAAATAACTAAACATGGGCAGACTGGGCCACTCAGCAAGCATGGAGCAGTTTAGACAAAAAAACTCAAAGATGGGGAAGAGGCAGAGTCACTCGAAGGTCAGCCGCATATGGTGGAATGGGAGGGTATTTTGGTGATTGTCGACCCGATCAAAATGACCACACGTCTGTACCAAAACAGAGGGACGATTTCATACGGGCGCATCATGATGGGCCACATGTTATGCATCAGGGGGTTCCCGACCAAAATCAGAAAAGGGCAATGCATTTATATTGGTGGGTAAGGTGTATATGACCAGGCGGCAAATGGCCTTCCTATTACCAGATCCAAAGGCAGAGACGTTGGAGGATTTTATTTTTCGATTTTAAGCTTTCGTGACTGCAGAGATCCATCTTCTTGGTTCTTTCGGTAAAGTCACGTAGAAGGGAAATAATACAATAATAAAAATAAAACATAATAAAATACATGTATTTTATACATGTATTTTATTTTATACATGCATTTTATTATGTTTAATTTTTATTATTTTATTATTTCCCTTCTACGTGACTTTACCGAAAGAACTAAGAAGACGTTGGAGGATGTTTTTAAAGGGCTTATGTGCTGAACAAAGGGTTGCCAGAGACCCTGTTTACAGACCAGGAGAGACATGTTTTACCTCAGTTGATTATATACACACGCGTGCAGTGTTGGGGATGCCTACAATACAAACGTCCGCATCTTCTTGGTTCTTTCGGTAAAGTCACGTAGAAGGGAAGTAATAAAATAATAAAAATAAAACATAATAAAATAAAATAATTCTCACGACGTTTCGGCTACAACGCAAGCAGCCGTCTTCAGGTGATGCATGGGCATAATATGACTTTGAAACCCCCCCGCCCAACGCCTACGCATTTGCCATGAATATGCTAAATTCCTCTTCATATGCACATTCTTTTAGTTAAGGCGCTCTTCCACCCCCAACGCAGCTTATATATAAGCTCCTAGTTTGGTAGTGTCTCATTCTTCACCTGAAGACGGCTGCTTGCGTTGTAGCCGAAACGTCGTGAGAATTATTTTATTTTATTATGTTTTATTTTTATTATTTTATTACTTCCCTTCTACGTGACTTTACCGAAAGAACCAAGAAGATGAATCCCTGCAGTCACGAAAGCTTTAAATCGAAATTAAACGTCCGCATGTCATAGGCACACTGGGGGCACGAGATCATCGTAATAGAACACTGCCCAGCTTGCTGTCACGTGCTGTAAATGAGCGCCAATCAAATTGGGATAACTTTGTCTTGAGAGTTCGGCGGAGGGAGGGTGGGGGTGTAAAGGGATTAACACGGCTCGCTACGTACGGTGCGAAAGAAGTTCTATATACGTGTACAGTA